TGGTTGGAGATGATGGAAGTTGTTCCAAAACATTTGAAGGGTATTTATTAGCCCCACTCTAGTAAATCTTGCTGCACCTAAACCAGCCCCAAGTTTATTCCTTTTTTTATTCTTCTACACTTATCTTCCTGCAGATTAATTCTAACAGGATAATCATGGTTAAAAAAAAAATAAAAATCATAAAATCCTATAATCTTTAGTTAATTTATGGGTTTTGTAGACAAAGACTTTTTTGTTGTTTCTTTCTTCAGAAAAATCCAGATGTAAATTCCCAAATTCAGATTAATTCACTGCGCTGATTAAACTCTAACAATGATTTCTAGGTATAAGATTCATTTTCTGATGTACATTTAGAAAAAAAATAAAGGAAAGTTTAAACAAATTTCACATTGCCTATACAGCAGAATTGAACCAAAGCAGTTTCTAAAAAATAGTATAAGAATATCTGCCTATTTTAAGAATAATAGAGTTTCTAGCTAACCTCCCTTTGTGCCATATGCACATGCAAGAAAAATTTGCTGGGAATTAATTAAAATTTGAAAGTAAAGCTCTGTCTTGAAAAAAGATTTGCAAATTGCATTTATATTCAAAAGTTAGTCACGTGTTTTAAGGAAACACTATATTTTGGAAAGCTTATTACACTGATTTAAAATCATTTGTTAAAATATTCTTGTCTATACAGACTTTCTAATATACACTGAATTAATATTCTTCACAGTAGCTTAAATTCTATTTCAAAAAGTTAGCCCTTTTTTGAGTAAAAAGCAATATTGCACCATTCAATAAGGCAGTTGTTTCTTTTTCCTTTGACTAAACTACTGCATATTAAAATCTTCAACAGTCACAAATTAAAGCAATTAAAATATCTAATCAATTAGACCTAAGTTTAAATATTTTATTTAAAAAGTCAACTCCAAGTACTATTCTTGGTTTGTCTAAATTACTTTTTTAATATTTTAACTGAGGGAGAAAAATAGTATTCTGTGTCTAGAGGGCATGGTGTGACATCTAAAACAACCCAGATTGTCATGCAATATAAATCCAGAAAGATTAGAAGTGCAACTTGCGCATTCTAATACTCTTATAGTGGAGTTGGTTGAACTCATTGTTAAGTACGAAGACCCAATTAAAGATAAACACAAGGAAGTGTTTGGGTTGAATCAGAACCTAGTAGATAAGAAGTTACTTCTTCCCTCATAAATGCATAATCCCTTAATTTGTCTGCCAATAAACTTTGGTTTTTGGAAGATATGTCTGCAATTTAACAGTGCTGAAGCACTAGCTAAATGTAGGTGGCAGGTTGCAGACTGCGCGCAGAATGGAAAGACGAACAAAAGTAAAAACTAACTGCCATTTCATCAGCTTGATGGTTATTATTGTTATGCACACCAGGGTACTCCAGAATCTTCAAAACACACTTTTGGAATACAGGGAGTCCTTGACTTACAACCATTTGTTTAGTGACTGTTCGAAGTTACCACAGCACTGAATAAAGTGAATTACAACTGATCCTCACACTTACAATTGTTGTAGCATCTCCATGGTCAGGTGATGAAAGTATAGGTGCTTGGCAACCAGCATGCATTTACTATAATTGCAGCATCCTGGGATCAGATGATGGCTGCTTGCCACCTTCCTAGCCAGCTTTCAAGAAACAAAATCAGCGGGGAAAGTTGGATTCACTTAATAACCACATGATTCACTTAACAACTGCAAAAAAGTCATAAAATCAGGCACAACTCACATAAATCCGCCTTGCTTAACAATGGAATTCTGGTTCCAATTGTGGTCATAAGTTGAGGACTACATGACTGAGATTTATTTTAGCTAAATCTTATCAGTGGAAAGAAATTTTGAAATTCAGAAAAATAAATAATCAAAAGCTAAAGGGAATTGCACAAGCATGTTGTATATTGTATATTCCAGGGGTGACAAACTGCCAGCCCGTGGGCTGGATGCGTCATGGCAAAACCGCGCCCACCCCATTGCCGGCAATGGAAAAAAAGTTGCGATATGTCACGACACGTCCGTGATGTTGCGAGTTTGACAACTCTGGTATATTCCTTTGATTGGGAGGTTAATTAAAATAATGATGCAAACAGGTGATAATCTGACGACACTGGGCATAATCTAAACACGTTTATATGAACACACAAACCTGAATAAAAGAAAAAAATGGCAGCTTTTCATGTTTGATTTTAACATGATAATTATTTATATATAAAGCTCATGTAATAACAGCTGTTCAAAATTATTTTGACTCACCAGAAAGTAGTCTTGGATTGGGCATGGAAGAAATTTGACAACAGTATTCATGCAAGATGTTGGAAATGTCCAAATAGGCACAGCAAGAGCTTTTCAAAGTAGCCCTGAGTTAAAGTCATTAACTCTTTTCTAACAAGCAGTCAGAGACAATATTTTCTGCCCTCACTCTGAAGCTACTATGCAACATCATTGTTTAGTCAAATCAGGCTAATAATGATCTCAGAATATCACCTCTGATAGAGCTTTAAAATATTTATGAATACATGTTAAGAAAAATATCAGGGAGAGTTGGGGAAACATTTTGGACTTCTCAACCCTCAGTGGTATCCTATAAATCATTATGAAAGAATGTTTAAGTAAGCAGTAAAATATTTTTTTAAAAAGTCCTATGAAATGCTAACTGCAACCCCCTTGCTTACCATGTCTCTAATTCTAAGCACAGTTCTGATTAGCACCTATTTCCTGTGTCTTTTGGTGTGTTTAAAGCCCTATTGAAATTCTCCAGCAATAAAAAGGATTTATTACGTTGCAATCAGTGTTATGAGGAACACTTACTAAGCAGAACAAGGCAAATTCCAGCAGTTCCATTGCCAAATTATGTTTGTCTCTTTATACAGCAGATCCAACAGAATTATCTGGCAGTAATTTCAATTAAAGTATAAGCAAGCAAATATTACCTTAGGTCCGTTGCCTTTAATCTATCTATGGAAAAAAGTTTTTCAAATATCGCTATAAAGATAAAAATGTTTTCTCTGTCAAAGTTGAACATGCTCAGTGAAAATCTGCAGAACCAAAAACTGAGGATAGGTATAAACAGTAGATGAACTTACAAAAGCTGTATTGCACAGAGATTGGCAAATAGTTATTATCCTATGATTATTTTTCAATCTTTAAAAATTTCTAGCCCTCAAGAGTGCAGTTAATTAGAAAAATGTGCAATAAAAATACTGAACGACCAAGTTTAAAATTCCTGTGAATGTGGAGTCTGATTATAATAACATGTATTTACTTCTGCTTTGAACATTTGAGAACATAACATAAAGTAGGAATAATAAATTTATTAATATTATTTGGCATATATTATAATCTCTATCTCAATTTGAAAACATATGCAATAAATCACTTATTTCCAACAATGACCAACCCATACATCTTAGAATATATTTTTTTCCACTTTTGTCTTGGTATTTCCAGGGCATGTGATCACAATTTACACCAACAGCTGATTCAACTAAGTTATAATTTTTAAAAAAATTGTATGGCATATCATCCTTTGAAAAGAAATACCTAACAGAACAAAATAGGATGATGCACATAAAGTCCAATGTAAAGAAAATCAATACACTGCAGCCTGAACTTTTATTAAGATCAATGCATAAATACTTTCAATGTATGTAAAATTTAGTAATTCATTATAGCACTCTTAGCTTTCCAGGTGATTTTGAGTTTGTTTTTTCTATATCAAGGATGTTAACTTAATTTTTATTAAGCTGTCTGGTTAGCTCAAACCATTAGTCAGCCTAATTTTGACTACAATGGAAGTTTATGCTTTCAAGCAGATCCCTGCCTAGAGTCCTACCATTTAGAAACTTTTAAATGGGAATGCCAGAAAGTGGGCCTGAAAATATAAACTCTATTACTTAGGAAAAAATACATAAAGCCATACTTGGTATTTCCTCCAGGATGTATACTGGCCATGAAACACCCAGTCAGAACAATTTATTAGTGAATTTTGGACAGACCGCACATGCAGCCAGAGATATATTTCAACACAAATATAGGACTGCAATATAACACATTCAAGTTAGAATGCAGATGTGATTATTACATCATGTACTCTTTCAAATTTAGTTGTCAGCTGCCTGGTTGGGTAAATATATGATCTGAAGAAATCCCTGACAAATACAATTTGCTGTTAAATAAATAGATAAGAACATAAAACCTCAGATTTTCCTAAATCTTACTTTTGCTAGACACAGGTAGTTAAAAGGGCCAGTTGAAGACCAAACCATAAAGGAAAAAATAATTTGTGTTGATTTCATCCCTTTTTCTTACTTTCCTACAAAATCTCAAGAAAGAAATTTTTTATTCTCTAGTTATGAGTGGAATAACATGCTACAAAATTGCGCTTTTTGAAGACAAGGAGAAAACTGGATGAATATCTGATTAAAATACTTATTTCAAGAAGACTCTTATCAGTACAGTAAAAGTGTTTTCAGCCAGATAGCCTTATTTTGGAAGACAGTTCCAGGCCTACCTGAATTGTTTTAATATTATCATAGCGTTAAAGCTAACTTAATCGTTCTGAAATTTACATAAGAGTCATCCCTAGCTTAATATTCTGTGTTTTAATTAAAATTTGTGCTTTTTTATATTTATTATAGGCAGCTAATCTAGATAATAATGATTTATAATATATTCCATCAGCGATTCCTCTACCCCCCTTCCCCAATAAAATTTATTTCTGACTTGTCATCATACAACAGCATCAAGGGCTCCCATTCTTGCTCTTGTTTTCCCAACTTGGGATACCTATCTCATCCCACTGGAGTTAATATCAAAGGACAAAATCCACCAGGAAGGTCTTGAGCACAAGCCGTATTTATATTAATATGCAATAGTGCTCTTATAGGAATTCCTTTATTTCAATAGGCAATCCATAGACGTTATTTCAGTAACCGATGTCCAAACTTTCTACTGATTCTCAAGCATCAGTTCAATTTACACCACAGCTACAACAGTCTATCTCATGGGCCAAATAAAGATTAAATTACACTAAAGCACAAAAATCTATGAAAGTGCAAGCCAGCGTGAACGCTTTTATTTCTGATATTGAAAGAACTTTATAATAAATGGAATTTTTTACATACAGACATCTGCTTTGCTGCACTCATATTTTACATGTCGGGAAGTGGGAAACCAGTTTGTCCTTCTAGTTTCTATCCCCTGAAGTGAAAATTTGCTGTTTGAACTAAAATGTTAACCTAATAATGGCATAAAAAGCAGGGAAAAGCTGATGGGTTGATCACATCCCTGATTAATGTTGATGAAGTCCTCTGGGCTGCCCATTAGTCTGAGCAGAGCCTTTAGCACTGTGAGATGTACATTTTTCAGTACTTGCTTCTAAGAAAATATCCTGGAACCCAAATATTGATGGTAAGTATGCTGATTTCAATCCAAGTTCATTTAAAATCAGATTCCTTTCCCATGTGTGGGTTTTTGTTTTTTGCTTAGGACTGCTGGTGATTGTACCCCAACTAGCCTTCTTTGGGACAGATACAAGAGGTGCTCAACCTTCAGGTCTGAGTTTGAGATTACTCTTAAATTTCTTGCCCCTTTAGCAAAGCATCTTTCCATTATCCTTGAAGGACAAGCACCAGACGCTGAATCAAGTCTGTTCACAATAGAATTATTTACCACTTCTGGGAGAGCTGCTCTTGAGAAAAACGTAGCTTATTTCTAAAGTTTAGTGTGTCTGTGTATGCACATGTGTATTTGTGTTTTATTTACTTCATTCTAAGAAAAGTAGCATCACTCACTCTTGGCTTTAAGTGATTCCAAAGGTGAAATACTGATCATGATGTAGTATGAAAGACAAATGTCCTGACAGGCGAGTTGTTCAAGGTATTAAAAACAGATTTTGTTCCTGTTCTTTTAAAGAAAGATGCATATAGCTGCTCCTGATTCAAAACTTGGTAAAGATTTTGTTAGTTTTTCCTATATTGCTGCATATAGGTTTTTGAGAAGTCCTTCCCCTTGAAATAAATGTATTTGCTTTAGAGTGCCAGTCTTCTATAGACGTTAGCGCTCAATGAGGTGGGAAGAGTCACACTGCACAGTTGCAGCAAGGGAACCCTATTATACACAACTCTGTATTGTTTCTGGGCTTCAATCAATAAACCTTTGGCAGGCCTTCTTCCAACGACAAGCTGTACACCACATATCTCTATTCTCCATCCCGTACACTTTGCGACATTTCTTGCCCTCTCCTCTAGGTTTTCTGCCAGAAAGTTGAAAGAAAAACTTATTAAGGTAAGATGATGAGGTTGAAGATTGTACACACATATACACACACATATATAAAAAGAGGTAAAATAGCAACTCAAACAATATTTAATTTTAATAAAATTATCCATAACTAGAAAGGGCAAGGAGAAAAATAAGCTCTTTACTCCCGTTGTAAATGTGAACAGTGAAAGCAGATGATGAATGGTGTTTTGAAGATCAATGTGACTTTCTGCTTAAAAGAGAGTGGAGAGATAATACAAGAAATATTCTTAATGTACTGTACTAGAATATTTGAAACAACATAATGAAAAATCAGCTACATTGACATTTCTTGTTGCAGAGAAAGCAATTAACAATTTGAACCTTTTTTATTTAAAATGTTGAAAAAAAGGATTTTGGAGGTTAATTGTATTAAATGGATAAAACCAGGGCTTTTTTTCTCATAGAACACCCAGAACGGAGTTTCGGCACCTTTTTTGGATGGAACCTTGTAGGGTAGGCAAGGCGGGTTGTATGAAGTGTGTGAGTTCTGGCACCTTTTTTTTTTTTTTTTTTTTACAAAAAAAGCACTGGATAAAACTGATATTGTATATACATTATGAACAGCACAAACTGTGGTTAATGATGATTTCATTAATCCCTGTGAGATTCAAAAAGGGACAAGAGAAGACTGATGGTACCACTGCTGCTTAATTTGGGTTTGGAAGTTCTTAATAGAGACAGAAAATAAGATGAGAGAATAACTGGCATGAAGATGAAAGAAGTATATAAATTAAGGCCATCTGCAGATTATTTGGTTTTAACAGTTGAAAATTCCTTGGAAGGAATAGAATATTAATGGAAAAGCTGAAGGAATTTGGCGCAGTAACTGAATTTAAAATGAATAAAGACTAAAATTTTAACAAAAAATATGAGGAAGATCAAAAAGAACTGTTTGGAAAAACTAGTTTTCAGATTTGAGAAAAAGGTAAACATCCAGATATTATTGCAACTAATAAAATTCTACTGTATGTTATTTCAGAATAATTATGTTAAGGTATGGAATGAAATTAAGAAAAACCTAGCAAAATGGGAAAAGTTGCAAATTCCACTGCTTGGAAGATTTTCTGTGATAAAAATGACTACTGTATACCTACAATGATGTTTTATTTCAAACAATATCAGTTTTGAAAAATGATGCACCTTTTAAACAAAGGCAAAAATATATAATAAACATTTGTATGGCAGGGTAAGAAACCAATGGTTAAATATAAAATTCTGCAGGATACAAAGACAAAGGAGGACTGGGATTATCTGATTTTAAACTATAATTTTCAGGGCTGTTATTTGTTTTTTTGTAAAAGAATAAATCTTGTTAAGAAATAAAAGAATGTTAGAAGATCATAACCTGAGATTTAATTGGCATAGGTTTTTATGTATAATAAAGTTAAAATTCCAATAGGAGAGAAAATACATAATTCAGGATTGAACTGTGGAGTTCCTGATGCTCTCTAAGCTTGGCCATTTGCCTGCAAATGTTTCATTACCAGTCTAGGTCACATTATCAATATGACTGAGTGTAGAGATTGCTTCCTGTTTATATACAGTAGCAAGCATTTCCAGTATTGGTGGGGATGTTGTTTTCTTCTTGGTAGTTCCTTGATTAGGGTACTGTTTTTGCTTGATTGCTTGTCTGGTGTTAATTCCTGCTTATCTGGGTGTTGGTTGGTGGAGAGGATATGTTTTTTAGCTTTTTATTGTCTCTTCTGAATGATATGTATATATGTATAATGGCCAATTTACAGGAATTCCATAGTGTTGCAAAGGTACATTTTCAAAAGGCAACTGGACTTTCATTTTTTCCTTGAAGACATTTCACTTCTCACTCAAGAATCTTGGGAAAAGTATTTTTGGGACAACCATGTCCTGGATGACTGAGGATCTCCATAGAATTTCCTAGTGGTTTTGGATTTAGCTTGGTTTAAGGATACTCACAGTTTCCCAGTTGTAACTATGGTTAAATATGTGTTGTTAGATTAAGGAGTTTTCATCATGTTTTCTGACTGATGAGCTCTGCAAATTGTCTGCCTGTCTGTCCTACATAATTACAGGTTTTACACTGTTTTTTTCTTCTTGGGCTCTTTTGCTTGTTTTACTTAAGATGTTTGGAGAGCTCTAGTTGGTTTGAGTGCTACAGTGATGTTATATGGTTGTAATAATCTGTGGATAGTTTATAAGATGTTTTTGATATATGGCAGTGTTGTCCTGTTCATAACTTGTTTTGATTGTGCTATAGTGGGTTGAATGGTCAGGCATATTTTGATAAAAGTTGTGTG